TGTTGGCCGATGGAAGAAGCAAACTTTACAAATTAATAGACAACTTGAGAGATGCTTATTTTTTGGTTGAAGGTGAAAGTGATTCGGTTGCAGCTCTTGAAGTCGTTCACAATGTGGCTGCATCCATCGGGTCAAAGGTCAAGTCCTTTTTTACAATGGCCGATGGTGGAATGTTGCTAAAGGTTGATGAAGCCTACAAGATTTTTAACAAAATGGTGGATTCTGGTTTTTCAAGTTCTGAAATTTGTGTTCCAAATAATCACAGTGACAATTTATTATTCAACCAATGGGATCTAAGAACAATATCTCTATTCTCATATTGATTTTTAGAACCTTGAAGACAAGTTTTAAGTGAACTCGACGATAATAATAGAGAGATAAAATATTATTTAAGTTAGTTTATTAATTATACTTTTATTATTATTTAGTTAAACTTTTCAATTATCATTTAAGTAGGCTTTTGATATTTAGGTTTTTTATTAGATTATTCATTAGTGACATTATATAATGTAATATCTTTGGCACATTTGAGACATCAATCAATCAAATGAAAAAATTATTTTATTTTTATTTATTTTATTTAATCAACCCTTTAATATAGAAAATCTTAATTCTTAACTTTGGTAAGTATTGTTTCCTATCCATCAATCAATCACTCCAATCTATTACCATTAACCACCTATTTTAGTCAACACCAATTACCACTTTGACTACTAACACAACAGTCATCAATCTAATATGTATTTCACCAACAATCACTATTTTTAATCAACTGCAATAATCGATTTTTTTTGGAATAATCATGTATTAAAAAAATCGTAAATAACCATGTTTCGGAGAAAATTACGCAAATAACCATAATTCAGAAAACTCTCCAAGGGACGAGCCATCCCACTTGGCGCCTACACCTAATTTTTAAGGGGAGGCGCCATCTCACTTGGCGCCTAGGTGTTAAAGGCTTGCCCTAAGCCAAGTGAGATGGCGCATTAGTGCAATTGGAAGGCAAATTTTCACGTTTTTTATTTTAAATGCGGTGCGTAACGTATTCGATATAGGATCAACAAAATTGACTTTTTATTTACAAAATATGATTAAACACATAACTATTACATAAAAAAATACAGATTAATCAGTGGTCCCCCGGAACCCAGTAATGACCCCCGGTTCTGCATCCCTGTCCTCGCCTTTCCTGTGCTGGGTTTCGTCGCGTTTCCTGCTGTGGCAGGGTCGATGGCCCAGCGAAGTCAATGCGTTCCGGATCCATGAAATCAGTCAGATCTCCATATCTAGAAGATCCTCTTTGGTATAGTCGGTTACCCATACCCTCAAAGTTTGGTCGTGTTGATGGTGGGTGGGGTTCCATGGTTGGTCTATAGCACTGATCGTCTGAGTACGGGGGGTAGAAAGGAAATGGATCTTGGGGTGTTTGGTATTGAGGATGTTGGGTGCTTTGGTGATGTTGTGGTTGATGGTAAGTTGGGTCGGCTGATTCATAATCTTCGGACAATCCCAGATCAGGGCTAAGGTTGGATGTTGAGGGGCCCATATTGGGATATGCAGAAGACTGAAATTATGTGTGGGGTATGCGCGTGTATTGATATTGTGATTGAAATTGTGGTTGGGTGTGAGGCATATGGGGGTATTGGTATTGAGGTGGTGATTGTGGTTGGTTGTGGGGCATGTGGGTGTAATTGTATTGTGGTGGTGACTGTGGTTGGGTGTTTGTGGTTCTGTTTCGTCGGGGGGTTGGTGGGAGGTTGATGTGTGTTGGGTTTGTTGTTGGGGAAATGAGGGTTGTTCCCATTGTGTTCGTGGGTCAACCAAATACCTTGGATGAGACACGTGCATTTCAGGGGTACTAACCGATCTGTACCAAGATAAATACTGATTTGTGTGTCGCATATTACCATGGTTGAGGAAAATTGGGAATTGCAAGACATGTCGGTGACGCCTCTGCCACATCTTACACCATTCTAGAGCAAAGTCTTTTCAGTTGGTAAGACCCCATTGTGCGTCGACCCTTTTGAGATGCCACGAGGATAAACAAGTCGGATCACTGGGTATCTCTTGATGCATTCCAAACTGCATCTTTACACGGTCACTGTGATGCATCTCCACAACATTGAACCGTATGATTGCAGTCTTTGTGCTCCAAATTGCTGCATCCTCGGGGTTTGGTTCATGGTCCAAACCCAAATATGGTCTCCAGACAAACTCCAGATAAAATTAAATCAGGTTAATGAAAACGTAATATATAAATAATTTAAAAGTAGAAAATTTGAAAGGTACGGCGTACATCATCCGGGCCAAGGTGATCCAATAGATTGCAGTATAGTGCGACATTGAATCTTGGATTCTTGCCGTAATCCATACCCCTCACACAATACCTAAAGGAATTGAAAAATATTTTATTTTTATCATATATTTGGTGAAGAGATGAATAGTAATAAATGATATAACTTGATGACTTACTTTGTTGCATATGAGAAAACGAATGTGTTGTTGTTGACGGGGTTTATGGACTCCACCAACCCCAGGGTTGAAGTTAAAAACGCATCCATAAAATGTACATTTTTCCTTGATTACATTTTTACACAAGGAACTGTATAGATGAGCTAAAACAGCAGAACCCCAACTATACTTTCTAGTTTTTTCGAAGTCTCTAAGTAAATTTAAATACATAAAATTTACACTATTTCCCATACTTTCGAAAAATAAAAAGGTTCCAAATAGTATCATTATATAATTTCTAGCTTTTATTACCTTAGCTAGCTCGGAGGAATTTTCGTTCAATTCTAGAGTCGCATAATGATTTTTTAGCTCAGTAAGTAGTATACCCTGACCTCTCGCACCACCACCTTCAACCATATCCATGCCCAACAATTCTTCACACAGAGAATTGGGTTGTTGAACCGACCCGTTAACCGCCTTACCGTCGACAGGGAGACCCAATAACATGTACACGTCCAAAAATTAGGTCTTCCTGTCGCAAGTGAGGTTGTTGTTCATCTTCGCTAGATCCTTCTAATTTGTCCCCCCTCCACGATGTCTCCCTCTAGCCATCGCATCAACTCCCTCTTCAGACGCTCCATGGAGTGAATGTGCCAGAATTTCATTTTCATCGGAGGTTTTGTGGCGGAGAAAATAATGTAACCATCTCTGATAAAAATCATGGACGATGTCATGACACAAATAACAGATTAAAAAAATAAGAGAGCAGTGTGAGAAAGTGTGAGGAATGACGGAGAAACAGACGAATTATTTATAAAAACAACATTTTGCCCTAGGAGCCAAGTAAGATGGCGCCTACTCTCACTTTTAAAGTGCATGCGCCATCTCACTTGGCTAAAAGTGAGAGGAGGCGCCAAGTGGGATGGCGCCTAGGGCAAGAATTTGAGTGGAGGCGCCAAATGGGATGGCTCCTCCCTTAGAGAGTTTTCTGAAATATGGTTATTTGCGTAATTTTTTCCGAAATATGGTTATTTGCAATTTTTTTTAATACATAATTATTCCAAAAAAAAATTCGCAATAACCAATATAATTACCACCGGTAGCAATCAACAATCATTACTCTAATATGCATTCCGCCGATAACCACCCATTTTTATTCACTAAAATTACTTATAAAAATGATATTATATACTTTTTTGACTACTCTGATATATAAAGGAGAAAAGTTATATGAATTTTTTTTTGACTATTCTCATATATAGAGGAGAAAAGTTATATGAATTTTTTTTTGTTAATATAGGTTTCATGATAGGAGGCAAGCACACATTTCTATTTGATCAGTAAAATAAGTATCATTCGATTGAGGACCGTTTATAGTATCAATATATTTTTTTTTGTTGCTAATTAGCTAAAACAATGATTTACTTGGTTAGAAGTGGTTTTGATTAATTTTAATTTATGAAAGAGCTACATATGACTATAAACTCTGCCGCCTATGACTCCCTCATTTTTCATTCATGTTGTTTTTGAAAATTGAATAGATAAAAGTGATCATATCTCATTTCAACGGATATGATTTTATCAATTTTTTTGATAAATAGAAATTTAATTTATATCATTAATTAAAAGTTGAACAATATAAAGAGAAATCTCATGAATCTAACTACACCTAATTTAAGAATTGGTCGCTATAGTATGAATAACCAAATTTATTTGGCGTTTGACAAATTTTACCTCAAAATTAGAATAAAACTAACAAACTTTGAATAGATAAAATAATAAAACTAAACTCAGATATACTGTTATTATAAGTATGAATAACTTGAGATACTATTTGAGAATTACATTCGAAATTAACATTTTCCAAATGTATATCTATTGCATAAAGAATAGCTTCTTTGAAGACCAAAACTTCAACCTCAATAATTAGATAAAAGCCAAAGTCTCAAGTAGCATCTGTAAAAATAAAGTTTTCAAAATGATTTCTCACACATCAGCCTCTATGGTAGTCCTTCTAATGATGTTAAAGCCTACATCGATGTTACACTTCAACCTCCTTTTCTTAGATAGATTCCACCTCAAAAGAAATCGGTGGATGTTAACATTGTCCATACTCTTTTAAACTACATATCAACCAAATTATCTTAATCAAATAAATTAGTTGATTTCGAAATAAAATTCAGTCGTTCAGAATCCTTTAAGATTTACTTTTTAAGAAAGAGTTTTTCTCAATTAAAACAAAAATACTTTTATTTAAGACTATCTCTATTTTCATAAAGATATAAGTCTTATTTATTTTGATTTTTAAAAAAAAAAATAATTTTTGTAGTGTTGTATAAATTTTTTTCATAAAATCAAATGAAAATTTGATTTGAGTAGTTATTATTAAAATGTTACTTTAAATATTTTATTTTTTTATTAAAAAAAATTAAATATCAAAATTTTAAAAAATCACTTAAATTTAAAATGATTTTAAATAGATTTTCATAACCTTTCAAACAATTTTGTATGCGTTTTATTCATTAAGACAATTGAAAAGTACAATTACATTAATCATGACAGCAACATCGCCTATGAGGTTCGGGTTCTGGTACGGGATCTATACATGAACCACGTTTTTTATGCTTAAAAAAATCAGCGCAGAACTTATTGCACTCTTGCTCAGTTGTGCATGTCCAGGCGCACACATATCCTGGAGGATCAAGACTAGTTGTGAATCCTGCAACAAAAATAATGTTTAAGGTATCCAATACAATATGATTTCAAATTACAACCACAACATGTTGATGGCTAATTAATATTAGAAAAATGAACGGAACACATAAAACTAACATGTTCTTATTAGAATTTTTTCCATAAATGTTACATTTTTTAAACGAAAATTTTAAAATACCACAAATTGGAAATAAAATCTCAAAATGTCATACACGGATAGATGTATATCATTTAAAATGACACAAAGATAAGACCCTTTATATATCATGCATGCTGAACAAAAACATATTATACAAAGGATCTCACCTTTACGCCATTTTAAATGACGTGAATCCCTCCATACGTGACATATTAAGATTTTATTTTCAGATTTTAGCATTGTGAAATTTTCGTTTAAGAAATGTGATATATATAGAAAAAAATTCTTCTTATTACCTGAAAGTAAAACAAAAGCAATCAACAAAATCCACCAAATTCGAGATTGATAAGAAGCCATTTGGACTGAGTTTCAGTTTGAACTTTATTTTTGTGCTGTTGATGCAAGACCAACATGGTTATTATATAGAACATATCTTAGGTGAATATTATATTTAAGGTCAATTATATTTATAATAATGAACAGTGGAAATTCAACGTTTTGTATTTATTATATGTATAAAGATATATTTAAGATAAATACATAAAAAGAAAATATAATTTACTATATATATATATATATATATATATATATATATATATTATATATATATATATATATATATATATATATATTGAAATCTATTGAAATTTTTTTTTCATCGAGGATGATTCATTCAGGTATTATTCGAATTTAATTCTTAGTGAAAATAAGGTTTGTCAACGAATCGTCATTCTGAACTACGAAATCAGATTAGTCGATTTATTATGTAGATCAGAATTGATTGGTTAAAATAAAATAAAATATATATATATATATATATATATATATATATATATATATATATATATATATATATATATATATATATATATATATATATATATATATATATATATATATATATATATATATATATATATATATTGAAAACAAATTTTCACCGAGGACGATTCGTTTAGGTATTATTCGAATTTGATTCTTAGTGAAAATAAAATTTGTCAGTGAATCGTCATTCTGAACTACGAAATCAGATTAGTCGATTTATTATGTAGATCAGAATTGATTGGTTAAAATAAAATAATATATATATATATATATTGAAAACAAATTTTCACCGAGGACGATTCGTTTAGGTATTATTCGAATTTGATTCTGAGTGAAAATAAAATTTGTCAGTGAATCGTCATTCTGAACCACGAAACCAGATTAATCGATTTGCTATATGGATCAGAATTGATTATATATATATATATATATATATATATATATATATATATATATATATATATATATATATATATATATATATATATATATATATATATATATATATATATATATATATATATATATATATATATATATATATATATATATATATATATATATATATATATATATATATATATATATATATATATATATATATATATATATATATATATATATATATATATTTGAATTACAATTCTAAAATATAAGTTAAGTCTCAAAATAATCATATAAAACAATATAAATATAAAAATAATAATGTGTTCATAGTAATTAAAATATTTAAAAATAAAAATGTCAATAATGTTTTCAAACAAATATTTAAAATAAAAAAGTCAAATTAAAATATATATAAAAAATTAGAAACAATTTTTGTGCAATGATAGTTTTTTCATTTACACTTAATTTATAATATATTTTAATATGATTTTCAAACATATACAATTAATTTATTTACTTATATCGTTTTTAGATAAAGTTTTTATCTATAATAAAATTCAAGGGAAAACTTGATTTTGGTGTAGCGTTTTTTCTTTCAAATATTTTTCTTTTAAGTTTTCATTTTAAATTTTAACTTTTCTATTTTAATGACATTTATATGGTGGGGAATGTATCTTTCCTTTTATTATTATTAATTATTTTATAAATAATTTAAAACAAAATTAATATTCAATAAAAATAATATTATAATGTATATTTTTACACATGTATGTATTAATAAAAAAGAGATAGGCATGTGGGAACAAATGGAATAATTAGGGTTTTAAGAAGATTGAAGAAGACGATAGAAGAGAGAAATTATATGTGAAGAGGGAATTTGATAAAATTAAAATGCAGCTGAAACATTTAAGTGTTTACATCATAACATGCCTATTTATATCCAATCAAACATATAACCTTACAAGCTGCATCATTTAACTCAGTCGAATGCATGCTTACGCAATCTAGAAACTATATGATGTATTCGACCCCGTCGAATACACTTGACTACTGCTACTTCTTCGATTAGGTCGAACACACCTACGTCGAACACAATCTTTTCTACAAAATAATGAATTGAAACTTCTAATACACCACCTAATTCATGTGTTTGAGACTTTTCATCATAATGTTTTTCTTCAACTCATCGAACCTGACTTTCTTCAGGGGTTTAGTGTTTAAATCAGCTAGTTGGTATTTTGTCTTGCAATTATCAAGTTCAAGCATCCCTTTATTTACTTGATCCCCAAGGAAATAATGCTTCCTCTCTATCTGCTTACTTCGACCCTGACACACTAGATGATTTGTCAGGTCGACCGCTGACTTGTTACTGACAAACAACTTTATTTTCTTAGGTTCTATGATCTTGAGCTCTTCAAGCAACATTTCTATCCATGGTGCTTGACATGTTGTATACAATGCCACTACATACTAAGGTTCACAAGATGACAAAGCCATAATAGTTTGTTTTGTTGAGCTCCAAGAGATCGGGGCACCTCCAATCATGAATATGTAGCATGCAATACACTTTTTCTTATCTTGATCTCCATTAAAATATGAATCATCATATCATTGTACCTCTTCACCTGTATTGGTCTTCATCTGTCTTGCCATTAACACCCCATGATCAATTGTACTTTTTATGTACCTCATCACTCTCTTGCGTATCGTCAGATGGCACTCCTGTGGCATCTCCATAAATTTGCTCAACAACTTAATACTTTGACAAATATCTGGCCTGGTGTTACAAAGATACCTCAAGGAACCAATTATTTACTTGTACAATGTTGCAATTACAAGCTCATCATTTGTATCCTTCTTCAACTTTTCTCTAGTTTCTAATGGCGTGGAAGCTGCATTGTAGTTGCTCATCTTGAACCTCTTCAGGATGTCTTGGGCATACTTCTTCTCGTGCAAGAAGACTCCTTCACTTGTGTCTTTAAATTCCATCCCTAGGAAATATGATAAGTTTCTTAGGTCAGAAATTTCAAACTCCAACATCAGTTTTGACTTGACCCCTTTTATTCCTGCTTCAAATCCATATGTAATCAGCAAGTCATCCACATACAAGCATATAATCACTCGAATGAATACTTTGTGAAACCATGTCCTAAAGCATACTTTGTGAAACCTTCTTCGATTAGGAAGGTATATATTATCTTGTTCCAAGATTTTGGGACTTGCTTCAAACCATATAGATTCTTCCTCAATTTGTACACCTTAGAATCCCGTCTTTTATTTCGAATCCTGGTGGTTGTTTGACATAGACTTCTTCTTACAAAGATCCATTCAAAAATACTTACTTTACATCTAACTGATGTATCTTCCATCCTTTATATGTTGCAGCCAACACAACTATTTTGATGGTTTCGAGCTTTGGCACAGGTGCATAAAATACTTCGAAATCAATACCATGTTTTTATAGAAAACCTCTTGCCACTATTATTTCCTTATTCTTGGAAATCTCACTATTTGGCCTTAGTTTCACCTTGTAGACCACTTCACATCAATTTACTTCTTGATTGACTTTTCGACAAACTCACTGGTCTTATTCTCCTCGATTGCCTTGAGTTCTTCTTGCATGATTGTGAACCAATTTGAATCACTCATGGCTTGATCCAAATTAATTGGTTCTTATTCATCCATAATCATCACTTCTTCTATTAAGCCACCATTTGCATCGACTGCTAGATCTGGAAATCTCTCATATCCAGCTTGCTTTGTCTCATTTCTTTCTCTATTAGATCTTCTAACATTCTACCCAGGTGGTTATTCATTTTGATTTGTTGTGGATTTAATTTATTGGTCTTCTTCAAACACAATTTTGACTATATCTAACTTTTTTTGAACTTACCTATGACTTCAATCCACCTTTTTCTTTTGTCCACTAGAACATCTGTATTAATTTCTAGTTTAACATTGTTTGGTGAATAAAACTTGTATGCACCAGTCGAATGATAACCTGTGAGCACTATGGTGTGACTTCGATCATCTATATTCTTCCTCAATTATTTAGGAACATGTCTGAAAAATATTGATCTAGAAAATCTAAGATGACTGACATTTGGCCTATGTCTTGTCCAAGCCTCATAAGGTGTCTTCTCGACCATCTTCTTCGTTGGACATATGTTTTTTAACAACCACATATAACATAATCTAGAAATACATTAAATATGTTATAATTATTTGTATTGATGCAATCATAAAGCCTAATGACAATGTTATATATACATGTTCAAAATGATAATATACATAAATGGAACATGACATTCAAAGGTGCCTTAACAAACTAGTATCTAAAAGAATCATAATCCAAAGATCCTCAAAATGACAGTGGAAGAACATACAAAATGAGCAAGCCGCTGAAACATCATCACACAAGCTTACCCTTGCCTTTCACCTACCAAGAACTGTAACGCCCGTAATTTAATTAATTAATTAATTATTTAATTAAATTATTTTTGGAGTATTTGTGAAGTTGCGAGATGTTGAGAATTATTGATATAAGTTGTTGGATTATTATTAATTAATTTATTAGTTAATTAATAATAATTATAATATGGAATTAAAGGGAATATATGAAATAATGCTGGACTTATGCTATTGGTTAGAAATAGTAAAGTGGGGGTGTAGGTTAGGCCCAAGAGGATTGATATATAAGACTAAGCTGACACAAGGGTTTGTTTTAGTTAGAGAATAAGAAGCCCTATACGTTGCCCGAAAGATTTGCACAGAGAGAGAAGCAAGTTGCCCGGTGACGAGTGGAATGAAGCAAAGGCGGCGGCTAGAGTCTTTGGTTGAGCGAATTTCAATCCAGGTAAGGGTGGGGTTCTGACCTTATAACGAGACTTATGATTTGTATCACGTGGGAATAGGTCGTTTTGTGATTGTTGTGCGTGGATGTTTCTGAATTGCTATCAAAGTTGCCAATTTATTCATGTTGTGGCCGTTGGGATGAATTGTATGACCATTTAATGAATCTGTTTTAAGAAGTTTCCCGGTTGTATGTTGTGGACATTTTATGTATCTGTGTGACTCCCCGGTTTAATCGATGAGTAGGTTAGAGTAGATTATTGCCTATTTTTGTGGTCGTTAGGTTGTTGTGG